AAAAGGTAAACTGGTTGTTTGGAGACAGCGAGTGGCAGGGGGTGGGGGTTCACGGGGGATAAAAGAGGTATGAGAAAAATATGTATGTAAATAAGGTAAAGGGGGTGAAAGAGAGAGAGAGAGAGAGAGAGAGAGAGAGAGAGAGAGAGAGAGAGAGAGAGAGAGAGAGAGAGAGAGAGAGAGAGAGAGAGAGAGGGAGGGAGAGAGAGAGAGAGGGAGAGAGAGAGAGAGAGAGAGAGAGAGAGAGAGAGAGAGAAGGGGAGGGAGAAAAATGAAAGATCATACGTGAGCCGAATACGAAGAAAAGTGAAGAATCGAAAAACAATTAAAGACAAAAATACGAACAATCAAAGAAATAAGGAAATGGAAGAACGGGCGAGATCAATTTCGAAAGAAGAGATAAAAAAGAGACAATAAGAAACAACAGAGAATGCAGAAAGAGATAGAAAAAAAAAACAGAACTGATTTTTTTTTTCACTTTTATAGCACTGTCTCCCTTTAAAAAAAATCTTAGTCTTTAATTCTAATCTTTTGATTTCGTTCAATCACCTCTTATCCTCTGTCTTCCTATTTTCTATTGGATGGCATGGTGTAGGTAAGAATAAAAAAAACGATTGAAAAACAAAACAAAAATGATAATGATAAAAAAAGAGAAAAAAAAAGAAAAAAATATATGCGTGTTTGGGGAAAAAAACAAAAAGGTATTTTTTAAAGGAATTTACGAAATAGGGAAATAAAAAAAATATATATGCGTGTTTGGGAAAAAATAAAAAGGTATTTTTCAAAGTGATTTATGAAATAGAGAGAGATGAATAGTGTTCGAACGTGTCTTTGGTAAAATAAAATTGATATTGATCAATTATTAATGCACATAACCAATAGTGTTATTAGTAGAGAAAAATACGCAACTGTAATAAATGCTGACAAGAAAAGTAATTATAATGAATGTGAGGAATAAGATATGATGAAAATATTAAAAGTATTTGTATTAATAATAATCATTCTAAAAAAGGATGATACTAAAGGCAATAACGAAAATGGTGATGATATTTATGGTAAATATAGCAGTAGGAGTAGTGGTAGCGGTAATAATAATAATGGTAATATGATAATAATAACAACAACAATAATAACGATAATTATAATAATAATGGTAATAGTAATGATAATAATAATAATAATAATAATAATAATAATAATAATAATAGTTATATTGATAATAATAATGATGATGATTACAATAATAATGACAATAATAATAATGATTATAATAAAAATAATAACAAAAATAATATCAACAGCAACACAATAATAAGAAGAACAAATTAATCATAGTAATTACGATAAGTAATGATATCATAATGATGAAATAACAATATACATTTTCATAGTACTATATTCAATGGAAATACCATAGGTTCAAGGAAGCTCTGAATATCCTAACATTGTTAATTTTTTATTCCCTCAAACACACACATATATTTCCTTCCATATCCACTCTCGTTTTCATAGGAACGTAGATACAAATATATTAATGAATTAAAATTCTGAAATGAATTATATATATTGTTTTATGGCATATCCAATGAAATTAATTTTTTTTTTTATTATTAGCATTCATTTGGAGGTTTTCGTTTGGAATCTCCTTATCAGTCTTACATGCGATGTACGTATATATATATATATATATATATATATATATATATATATATATATATATATATATATATATATATATATATATATATATATATATATATATATATTGTAGGGTTCTACAATAACATCCAACATCACTGGATATGCGCACTATTTTTTTTCTTTACGTCTTTGCAAATACGGTGAAAAGGAAAAAGGAAAAACCATTTGAAATATCCTGTAAAACTAAAAAGAAAATCAATGGTATTGCAAAAATAAATCATATTACGTTTATCTTCATTGTAAAGTTCTCATGGCATATGGCTAGCATTTGTATCCATATTTTTTTCTGACAGATATAACGTAGCATGATCGTCTTGGATGAAAATATCTAGAATATTACAGAAGGCAATAGCATATTTTAGCAATTCAAGCGGTATAGTTTGTATGATATAGACGCCCCTTTCTCTCTCTCTCTCTCTCTCTCTCTCTCTCTCTCTCTCTCACTCACTCTCTTCTCCCGCTCCTTCTCCTACACACATATACACATACACACAGAGAAGCATTTATTTACATGCAAAAACTACATAGCAACGCAAAAAATATATTTTTACTACGAAATGAATGGCTGGGTGGTACTCCGTTTTTTTTTTCTTAATTTCAGAGTCAAAAATAAGTTTGTTTTTTTAGCCCCTCAGTGGCCAATAGTTATATTCCTCGTAAATAGAGTGTCAGCTTGATTGTTGAGGTAATAATAAAAAAAAATCAGTCGATCATACCAGAGATTATACTAATTCGGATCAGTCGATCGTGCAAAAGAATATGCTAATTTAAATTCGACGGGATGCACGCTTGCAGAAATAATTAGCGTATAATCTGCTGTGAAATCCTTTTGTAAATGGCAGTAAAAGTGTGCCTGGATATTCTACGTTTAAAGGTTTAGCAGCAGATTTGGCCAATAACAACAACAAAAGAAAGCATAGGCTTATTGAAAAAAGATGAAAGGGATTTATGTTCATGGCGTTGGCATTGCCTTTGACGGAAAAAAAATTATCAAAGTATTTGGCAAATACTGTATTTATTTATAGAAAACGTACGTCTGGCTACGTAGCTCGTATGCGGACAAAAACAGCCGGTTTTACTAACAAAAAACATAGGCCTATTTGAGGAGCACCGAGTGACCCCCACGCCGAAGGAAAGGGTCGAACGAGGTCAAACCTCCCCCGTTGCCCCCTGCGATCTCCTACACGTTCGAATGACCTCGCTTGCCCTGTCTCGGCGTGGGAACTTGACCCCTGCTTGTAAGATGGGAGTGATGTGACCTGGATTTTCCGTGCCTTGTCTTGAGCAGTATTCATGGAAGGCAGAGGAAGCGAAAATAGCCTGGAATCCTTTTTTTTTCTAAATCTTTATCTCTCTTAAGCCTAGGGTTGTGACCACTTTACCACGACCTTTGATCCCGCGGCAACAGGCAGGCAGGCAGGCAGGCAACCTTTGGAAAAAAAAAATGAAGCAACACGTGCGGACTGCGGGATCAAAGGTCTTTATATATTATGGCTGAAGGTTTGCAGTATTATTGGTACTTTTCGACACAGCACTGCACGCGTGACGTCAGAGTTCCTTTTCTTAGTGTTTGAGCTTTGTACTGTTACTGAGTGGCGGCGTAACAATGCTTTCTCTTTGAACTCTCTTGGCGTTACGGTTGTCTGTGATGTTACACTATTGTGACGTCATAGTATCTCGTGACGTTCATAGTATCTGGTGACGTCACAGTATCTCGTGACGTTCATAGTATCTGGTGACGTCACAGTATTTAGTGACGTTCATAGTATCTGGTGACGTCACAGTATCTCGTGACGTTCATGGTGCCTCGTAACATATTAGTATCACGTGGCGTAACAGAATCTCGTGACATCACAGTATCTGGTGACGCCATAGTATCACGTGACGTCACAGTATCTTCTGACATCATAAAATCTCCCTGACCTCCTTAGAGTCCTTAATGCTAATGGCTTATTCATACGAGTCTTATTGAATACTGGAATTATTTCTAGCTACTTCACACTGATTACACGAGTACATTAATAACCTACATCGATTCAAAAACATAGAACGAAGGTAATATGTCAACCTTACGTTAGAAATTAAAGCAATAACTTTTTTTTTGCCGTTACATCTAATACTTTTGTTTTTTTTCTTCTTCTTCTAACACTAACAATCTAAAATCTGACCACAAGATGTTACCCTTTGTATAAAAATAGAACGGTAGGTATTTTTTCCGGCTTTCCTAACCACATTTTGTTTCATCAATATTTTCTTATATGTATATATATATATATATATAAAATTTTACTACATCTACCAACAAAGTAGAGATATGAACAAACATTTCGAAATGTGTTACTGACAATGAACTCCATCTCTTCGGTATTATTTAATGATATTGTACTGTTTGTTTAGCACTGTTGTTTCTCCTGCTTCCACGTGGAATCTGAATGTTGTTTTTTTATATATTGTTAATGCGTCTTGTGGAACGTTTGCGTAGACTTATTCAACCGCAGGTAGAGTTGGAAAAGTGCTGATGTTCAGATGCGGAAAGTGCGTTATCCGCTTTCGCATATACAGGTACATACACAGACACATACGCGTGGACATTAGCGGGCACACATACTGTACACGTGCAAAATCAGACACACAGACACACACGCACACACAAGGTGTGCATGCGTACACATACGCATATACATACATGCACGAACGCACGCACGTTCGCATGCACGCACACACACACACACACACACACACACACACACACACACACACACACACTTACGGACTCACACACACACACACACATACACACTTACGGACACACGCACACACACACGCTCTTACAAATCTATCCATACGCACATACATACACTTACACAGAGTACGTACATCTATCTCTTCCTATCTCCTTTTGTCACAAACATTTATTCTTTCTCTCTTTTTTTTTTAATTTTTTAAACATTTTATTTGACCTTTCGATCTTGTTTATACCGCGAACACCATCTGTTTCATCGACAAAACCACCTGCCACGTTAGTTGACTTTCACCCTGCTGTATGGCTAGAACGTGGTATGTTTTTTTTTATTCTTGAAGTCTTTCTCATGTAATGGACTGCGTTGAATGAGATATTGTTTTATATGTTTTTATGGCAATATAGTTTTTCATCTACTGATACTACAGAATGTACCTAGCAATATGTATATATATATATATATATATATATATATATATATATATATATATATATATATATATATATATATATATATTGTTACGACTGGTATGTCAATATATATATACATATAAATATACATATATATGTATATATATATATATATATATATATATATATATATATATATATATATATATATATATATATATATATATATTTATATATATATATATATATATATATATATATATATATATATATATATATATATATACATTTATATATATGCACACTTTTAACAAAATAATTTTCAAGGAATCTGTAGTACCCGTTTGCTTAAAATATTATTGTCTGTCTTACTACATACTGAATACCCAAAATATTCACTACAGAAGCAAAGTATCATATACGAGCTTCCCCTAAATTTACCTTAATTTGAAAAAAGAAAAATCTTCCACCCACGTCCACCTTTATTTCCAGAGGCTCTTCGTCGCCTCAGTCTTGGCCCAAAGCTCTATCTCCTTCCCCCCCTTTAACCCAACCCCCCCTCCCCCGCCCCCCCTCATCACCGAACCTCATGAAACATCCTCACAAAACCCTCATGAAACCCCGAGTTCCGCTACCATCTAGGATGATGGTGATGCTCGTGTTCCTGCAGATGGTTGTGATGATGATGCTCGTGCTCCTGCAGATGGTTATGATGGTGAGGCTGAGGCTGCGGCAGATGGTTCTGATAGTGATGCTGCAGATGGTGAAGAGGATGATGCTGCTGTTGATACTCCTCTTGGCAGTAGTAATGGCGGTGGACCTGGCCGTGGATCTGTCACTTGTTCTCCGTCATGCTCTTGGTCTCGGGCAATTCCAGCAGCTCGGGAGGCGGTTCCTTGAAGCAGCAGGTCAGCGTGGCGATCATGCCCTTCTTCAGGCGCGGGTGGGAGTAGAAGTAGATGATCGGGTTGAGCACGGGCGACGCCTGCGGGGGGAGAGGAGAACGCTGCGTCAGGAGATGGGCGGTTTGGGGGAGTTTTTTTTTTTAAGTGTCGGGGGGGGGGGGGGGGGGTATGAGTCAGGGGAGGGAATGGGTCATGGTGGTGATGATGATGATGATGGTGGTGGTGGTGGTGGTGATGATGATGATGATAATGATGATGATGATGATGATGATGATGATGATGATGAGGAGGAGGAGGAGGAGGAGGAGGAGAAGGCGGAGGTGGAGGAGGAGGGGAATAATGATAATGATAATAATAAAGATAATGATAAAGATAAAGATAAAGATAAATATAAATATAAATATAAAGATAAAGATAAAGATAAAGATAAAGATAAAGATAAAGATAAAGATAAAGATAAAGATAAAGATAAAGATAAAGATAATGGTAATGGTAATGATAATGATAAGGAAGATGATAAAAATATTAGTGAAAAAAATGATGATAATAATACTAATGAAAATAATGATAATAATGAAAATATTGATAATAATTAAAAATAAATATCAATAACAACAATAAATACTAAATATACATACACCAATATACAAGGAACATACCAACAAATACGTAAATAGTTCATCTAATAAAAAAAAAAATATATCACAATTTTGGAGCACAAAGCTTCGGAGAGACTTCAGCCGTAAGCGACCTGCGACCTTTGATGTCCACAAAGAAAAAAACAAAACAAAACAAAACAAACAAAGAAAAAGATATACAAAAATCTACGCTCATTTCCGCGGACGAGGAAGTTCGGGAAAACGCTGGTCGGAGGAAGAGAAGGAGGAGGAGGAGAAGGAGGAGGAGGAGAAGGAAGAGAGGAGGTGAAGGAGGAGGAGAAGGAGGAGGGGGAGAAGGAGGAGAAGGAGGAGGGGGAGAAGGAGGAGGAATAGGAAGAGAGGAGGTGAAGGAGGAGGAGAAGGAGGAGGGGGAGAAGGAGGAGGAATAGGAAGAGAGGAGGTGAAGGAGGAGGAGAAGGAGGAGGGGGAGAAGGAGGAGGAATAGGAAGAGAGGAGGTAAAGGAGGAGGAGAAGGAGGAAGAGAAGGAGGAGGAGAAGGAGAAGGAGGAGGTGAAGGGGGGAGAGGAGGTGAAGGAGGAGGAGAAGTAGAAGGAGGAGGGGGAGGAGAAGGAGGAGGAGGAGGAGGGGGAGAAGAAGGAAGAGGAGAAGTAGAAGGAGGAGGGGGAGGAGAATGAGGAATGGGAGGAGGAGGAGAAGAAAGAGGAGAAGGAGGAGGAGGAGGAGGAGAAGGAGGAGGAGAAGGAGAAGGAGAAGGAGGAGGTGAAGGGGGAGAGGAGGAGAAGGAAGAGGAGAAGGAGGAGGAGAAGGAGGAAGAGAAGGAGGAGGAATGGGAGGAGGAGGAGGAGGAGAAGGAGGAGGAGAAGGAGGAGGAATGGGAGGAGGAGGAGGAGGAGGAGGAGAAGGAGGAGGGGGAGGAGGAGGAGGAGGAGAAGTAGAAGGAGGAGAAGAAGGATGAGGATGATGATGATGATGAGGAGGAGGAGGAGAAGGAGGAGGTGAAGGAGAAGGTGAAGGAGGAGGGGGGGGGAGGAGGAAAAGGAGGAGGAGGAGAAGGAGAAGGGGAGGAGGAGGAGGATGAAAGGAGGAGGAGGAGAACGATATATATATATATAAATATATATATATATATATATATATATATATATATATATATATATATATATATATATATATATATATATATATATATACATATATACATTATTAGTGCAAGTCAACGGAGTTCGTACGAGAAGTTTGTGTCCATAATGAGTCGCGAAGCACGATAGTCACTGGCAGCTTCTCTTTCACGCTAAGTTAAGAGAGGACTTTGTTTGTTTGGATGATATTGCATTGGCCGGAGGAATCTGACACTTCTAAGGCTTTTAAATAAGTTATAATTATTATGGATATTAACTTACATCAGTGAATGGGTTTACGAAGCTTGTAATTACTTGAGCTAAAAATAGATAAATACTTCCCTTGCTATTCACTAGTAACAGGACTATTAACGAGCAATTCAATGGCCTCTGGCAATTAGAGATGAAACATGTCTAAAAGGTATTGTCACAGTACTTTCGAATTCAGCCTACTTGTTGATGGAAGTGAAAGTTCAAACCAGTTAGACTGAACGAGAACGGATATTGAAGAACGAAATTCTGTGTTCATGCCAGGCTGTTGCAAATGCATGAAAGTAAAGGTGAAATACTTTCTGTGTCTCTGTCTCTATCTTTATCTCTGTCTGTCTATCTGCCTGTCTTCCTCCCCCCTCCTTTCTCTCTTTCTCTCTCTCCCTTTTCTTCTCCCCCTCTCCCTCTATAAGTGTGTGTGTGTATGTGTGTGTGAGTTCTCTCTCTCTCTCTCTCTCTCTCTCTCTCTCTCTCTCTCTCTCTCTCTCTCTCTCTCTCTCTCTCTCTCTCTCTCTCTCTCTCTCTCTCTCTCTCTCTCTCTCTCTCTCTCTTTCTCTCACACTCACTCAGCAACTCATTATTACCTAATCTCTTCCATCAAATATTGTCGAAGAAATGATACCAAAGAAGATATACAAAGACATAAGATGAACAAAAATCTTCTTACAGTTTCCATGTACAATGAGTCTACATCACGAAAATTAGAACAATAATGATTATATTGACTTAGCCGATGGGCAGTGTTCCACTGTTACGATCCTGTTAATGCAACTTAAAAAAAGAAGAAATAACGAAAGAAAGAAAGCAAGCAAAACAGAAAGAAAGAAAAAAAACAGGTTGACGCTGAAAAAGGGATTCGAGAACTGGTTTAAATTCAGGAAAAAGGAAGAGAAATTGGAGACACAAAATAAGTTGATATGAAGCTGAAGTGATAACTAACTGGCTCTGATACGACAGGAAGAGGGCCATGTTGTCGAGTATGTGTTCCTGAAAACGTTTAAGTGCCAATAACACATTAGGAGATGTCGGTGGTAATCAACAATGATGTTCGTTGTTTCATCTAGTGTTATATTTGCTGCTGTTGCTATTATGGGTGTTGGCTTTTATTGAGTTTTTTTTTTTTTTTTTTTTACCTTTGATGAGGCTGTGTGTAGGTCGTGATTTGGATTAGTTATACTAATGGATTTAATTGTTATATGCTTTTTATGCCGCCAATAAAACAAAGAACGACGTTATTGCATTAATGCATAAAACACAAGTATATGAGTACATACACATATTCACAAACAAAGACGTACTTGTAAACACACACACACGCACTCACGCAACGCACACGCACACACACACACACACACACACACAAACTCATTCACTCTCTCTCTCTCTCTCTCTCTCTCTCTCTCTCTCTCTCTCTCTCTCTCTCTCTCTCTCTCTCTCTCTCTTTCTCTCTCTCTCTCTCTCTTTCTCTCTCTCTCATCTATCTATCTCTTTCTCTATCTCTCTCTCCCTCTCTCTTTCTCTCTGCTTCGCAATCTGGTACCTATCAAGGCCCGCACTGACCGATACCACTGGAGCACAATACCCACTCTAGTCCGCCTCATGAACGAGCACTAGTCAATGGACCGCTCCCTTAACTTTTCTACGAGCACTAGTCCACAATTACTAGTCTAGCACTCCTAGCTAATCTGTACTTGCACTTGTCTTTTTTTTTTGTTTGTTTCTTTGTTGTTATATCTCCTATAGATGGTTAGTTTAGTTTGTTGTTTGTCGTTTATATGTGTACATAGTTTGTCTCTTCATATTCTGTATTTTGTGTATATTTTCAGACCCTGCCTGCATGAAAATAAATAAACCGAGTATCATTATTATTTTACTATTATTTCAAACACACACTACCCCCCCCCATAAACAAACTAACCCCCCACAAACAAACTAACCCCCCCACACACTACCCCCCTCCCCTACTCCCCCCCACACACACTTACCTTAGCCATGAGGGGAGGCAGAAGAGTAAGAACGAGAGGGACAGTATAGGGATGACGAAACACTGTCCACACGCAGACCACGGCATAGGCAGACCAGCAGAATAGGTAAGTCATCACCAGAACGCCACCCATCTGTGAACAAACAAGCAAAATGGGCGTGAGGAGGATGTGTGGGAGGAGAGGGAGGAAGGAAAGTGAGGATGGGGGGGGGGAGGGGGAGGAGAGGGAGGAAAGAAAGTGTGGATAGGGG